TCACATGCGAGACCTCCTTCTTGTATGCGTCCATCGATCTAGATTCGTCAATCACATAAACATCACTTACGCCTACAAAGTCTGAGCGTACCATCCTTCGCTGATCAGATATCATATTTCTGTCTGTCCACAACTCTATACACTGCCAATTGCCACACTGTAGACGCCATCTCTCTCCTCTCTTATTCTCAAGCAATTTATCCATCTGACGACTACTGAGTAGTTCCTACATCTGCGTCTTACTCTGTAAGCGCTCTTTGCTTCTTCCCTTGCTGTGCAAGGCCACACTGCCTGATACATAACCAGGGTGGTGGATATACCTCACGCTTTTCTATGCCCCGTTTTGTCACACTAGCTCCCGTTGAATTGCCGATGGATAGTTGAATGTGTGTGCTCATCTCTCTTCTGTTCCTAACTACTGCGATCCATATAGAGCTAATGTTTCTGGATTGGATAAACTGGTGCGTTACCCATTTCGGCAGATACTTTTCTTATTAAAAGTGCGTGAGGTAATGTTGTGGAATCGCGTTTGCATATACCCGGCTCTTGATATCACCGAGCAGCCACTAGAACTATCATGGTGGTTGTGCCACCTATCGTGGCCACATCACTTGGAAAATCACTTCACCTATCAGGGAAACTGATTCGGCTTTTTTTACTCATTCATCCCAGCTGCCCACAAGCCAGCTTAGTCTAACCTCAACACGGAAAGGCACCAGACGATCGTTTTGCCTTATTGGGGCTAGTCTGTGGTGCACATTTTGTCGGTCCCCTTCTGGGGATCGAGCCCATGGCTGCTAGCAACTTACGCCCTTTGTGACTGTCTATTCAGTGTAGGTGTGCCCGAAAAATACGTAAACAGTATCGGATCGCTGTACGCGCGTAGTTCTGACAGAGTGAGGGTTTATGACAAAATCTCGCCGCCCTTTAGTATCTCCGGTGGTGTTGGACAAGGATGCCCGCTATCCTCTTTCCTCTTTACTTTCGCTACTGACGAAACCATGAAAACAGCGTTCGTTGGACACAAGATGTGGAGCTGCTTCTTGGTAAGCGACTTCTTGACTTGCAGTATGCTGACGACATTGTCCTCATATGTGGCAGTGCCCAAACGGGCCAAGCTGCACTGGACAGATTAGCGCTGTCTATCAGTAGTTTTGGGCTATGCTTTACTCTCCAGAAATGCAAAGTCCTTCTCCAACACAGGTAAGCACCTACTCCTGCGCTGCCCGTCGGTGGCGATCATCTAGAACTCGTTCAAGAATTCAAATATCTGTGCAGCCATTTTAGCACTCGTGGGTTTGAAGATGAGGTCACGAACCGGATAGCAAAGCTCGAGGGGCTTTTGCCAATCTCCTCCACCTTTAGCGCAGACGCGACGTCACTCTCCCCCTGAAGGGCAAAGTTTACAATGCTGCGGTCCGTTCAACTCTCCTATACGGTTGTGAAACCTGGACCATCTGGTCGACAGACCTAAAGAGGCTAGTCACTTTCGATCATTGCTGCCTTCTCAGCTTAGCTCGTATCTGGTAGGAGCACCGCGCTCATTGAATGTGTCCGGCGTCACTTATTTAGTACAGGAAGAACGGGTGAACCACCCAGCACCATTGTATCACGCATCATTCTCCATTGGCTGAGCCACGTGTTGCGCATACCAGCCCACCGACTCCCGCGACGTGCATTGTCTTTGCGCCCGGGGGTCTGAATGGATGAGATGGAGGGGAGACCAAGCAATGACTTGCTCAAGAGGAATGGAAACCCTCACTTCGAAGCTGGCGTCAGTTGGTGCATCCCGACTGCCTGGCTCGGGTCCGAAAGACAATGAACATGTTTGTTTGAACACGCTTGCGAAGAGTCGATCCCAGTAGCGTTTGTACTCTGTTTTTTTTAATCCATTCCTCTCTCCTTTAGACTCCCCTCCCATCACGATCTCATAGCAAATTAATGAAACGATATTTAATATTATATTACTTGCTTATCCTTTTTCATTGCGGCACATTAGCGGAGGCATATTTCTCACTCTCAGCCAACGTGTGTTTAACAAAACAGGTTATGCGAACTAAGCATCAGCTTATGCTACTAAGCCATGGGGGACGGAACAGACCGCCTGAACTTGCAAGTTAGCCGTGATGTAGCGCAGTCTATCCTCCGCTCACATACAGGTTCTTACCATTGTAGTGAACAGTGGCTAACCTCCGAGGTTACGAATTCCACTACACAGTAACTCTGTCCGCATGGCATTTGAAGACTGCGAGAGCGGACGTTTTGCATACTGATGAGTAGGAGGATTCTCGACGATATTTTACTGGCTTACAAGCTCTGACGGTCTACCTCCATCCCCCATGGTTCAGTGATAGAAGCTGGTCATCATCATCATCATACACGTTAGCTAGAGGTCAAGAACACCTCAGCTACTGTGCCGCAATACACAGAAAAAAGGAGAGAAAAAAGAATTCAACTGGGGCAAGCCGGCTGAGCTACCGGTAACGGATGGGCATCGTTCCGGTAAACTACCAGCCGGCTACTTTGCATCCAAAAAAATTACTATGCAAAATTATATAAAGCTAAGTAATGAGATCGTGGTTGGAGGGGGAGGCTAAGTGGGATGGGGAGGGACAAAGAAACTCACAGCACGAACGCCACTGAGGTCGGCTCTTAGCCATAACAGCAAGTGTGTCCAACCAAACGTGTTCATCGTCTTTCGGACCCCAACCAAGGAGCCGAGACACTCCAACCGAGGCCAGCTCAGAAGTGAGGGCCTTCATTCCTCTGGACCAAGTCATCGCTTGGCCACCCCTCCTCTTCTTCCATCCACATCCCCGGCGCGCAAACAACGCACGTCGCGAGAGTCGGTGGGCTGGTATGCGTAACACGGGGCCGAGCCATCGGAGGCTGGTGCGTGAAATAACGGTGCTGAGCGGTTCAGTTCCTTTTCCTGTGCCATAAACAAGGCGTCGGACACGCTCGTTGCTCGCGCGGTGTTCCCACCAGATGTGAGCTAAATTACGAAGGCACCGGTGGTCGAACGTAACTGACATAAGCTGGTGGTTGTTTGGCATAAGCTGCTAGTTGCCATGGGTTCGATGCCAAGCAGGGAATCAAGGGAATGCGTACCACTGACGAGCCCTAATGTGGCGAAACGACCGTCTGGTGCTTTTCCGGATTGCGGCTGAACTAATCTGGCTTGTAAGGAGCTGGTATGAACCATTAAAATATCATCATGAATCCCCCTACTCATCATTGATTTGAATCTTCACAGCTTCCGTCATTTATGAGTTCATTTCAGTTTAGTTGAACAACTGGGATCCAGCTATCAAGGCCCGCGTCTCCGGGATAACAATAAATGGCAATGATGGGAAAATAATGGAGGACGCAAACAGAATAAAATAAGAGAGTTATTAAAACAATGCGCAAAGCTACTTGGAATTGAATGAAAATTCACAGCTAAATGAAAGAAACCGGACGCAGAAGCGCCACAGTCTGTGCTACTGGATAAAGTTTCCAACCACTTGTATGGGCCATGCCGGGGTTCCTATCCACTTAGGCAGCACGCACCAGCCTGATCAAGTCTCTTCATGCTTTTATGCTACTTCATTGACTAGCCGCCTCGTAAATAAATAAATAAATAGTTTATTCTCGAATTTGTCGAGACACACCAAGCAACTTGGTGCAGCGACAGCGTATAATACATCACCGATGAAGTCAGTCAACGGGCATACGTAGGACATGACCTAGCCAACGTAATCAGTTTAGCTGTTGCAAACATGAGTGAGGCACCAAAAGGTTTCATGTCCAAAACCTATTGGTGAGCCTTAGCATTGCTCATCCAGTGTCCCCACCAGATATGATCTGTACTCCGCAAACGCTGTTCATCATAGTCGCTTAATCTCTTAATGTCCAATGCGAAGTGGTCAAGTCTCTTATCCACACATTTGCATCCGCGTTATCGCAGCGTTACTGACACTTATGAAAATAGTGGGATGTCATCAGCCTGTCAGATAGCAGGAGGTGTGTTCTCTTCACTTCTGTTGTACAGCTATGATCCGAGCACTGTAGGACGGTGGATCCAGTTGCCACGACTCACATCACAATGAATAACAATGGCAAGATAGTGGGGTTAAGTCAAACAGAATGTAAAGAAAATGGTAGCTAGAAGGAGGCGCGTTGGGCTAGTCAAAATGGAGCGAATAGTAACAGCCAGATGCAAGAGATCGAATGCAGTAACTCCACTGACTGCGTGATTGTGCCATGTTTGATAAGGTCTACAACCCATCGCGAGACTCCCATCCAGGAAGACTGCATGCACCAGCCTGACCAAGTGTATCAGTCAATTTCTCCATACCTCTATGCCACGCTTTGGATTGGACTGGTTTCTCTGACCTTGCTTCATTCAGCCATGACCTATAATGCACGCCGAGCAAGCCGGTCAACGGGCATCCGGAGGACATTGTCTAACCAAGGTAAGCGTGCATCTGAGTCGTTGTAGGAATTGTCGTCTCTGCAGAGCTTCACCTATATCTCAGTTCTTCTGAATTTCACCCTTTAATGCCACTTAAACGTCTATTATACACGGATTGTCCTTCAATTAAGCTAGGTTGACTTATGCGTATCGGTTGACCGTCTATCTGGGTGTGCATTGTTCACCACTAGGGAGGATGAGAGGGCGACCACAGGAGACACAGTAAACTGGCATGGTGGGATTGATTGAGGGATGAAGTCTGATTGGTACGCACCGTCGTCGTAGATGGAAACATCGGGATCGGCCAGACCAGTGTTTAGAGCTGTTGTCCGCTACGGCAAAGTTGCAGTCGATGGCGCATCTACATTCAGTCCCTTGCGTTTAGGCGCTAACATTCCAACTCCATCAATTCTACTCACTGTTTCGCGTCGGCACGTATTGTTGCAGTTGATTTCGTCGCTTCGATTATAGTTGTCTAAGTTAATGGAACTAAGCTCAGTCCTTCATCTCACTTTGATTCTTTCCTATTGTTTCTCTTTCTTAGACTCAACCCTCCGTCGACCCATTCGCTCCGTCTCAACAGGACCCTCCCAAGACAAACTCATCAGCTGTTGTTTCAGATCCTTTCGGCCCTCCTGCATCCTCAGGGAGCACACAGCCTCCATTTACGGATTTGTTTACTAACTTCCTCGGTAACTCGTTTCCATCTTCTTCTACACCTTCCGTTCCGCGTGCCATGCAACCAGCATCCTACCGCGCGGGGGATGTTAGTGGTTGGCCGGGTACAGCTTTTCTGCCACAACCCCCGGCTACAAGCCAAACATTCCAAGCTAACTCTAGCATGTGTGATAAATACGCGGCACTTGCTGAACTAGACGGGTTGTTCAAAAGTGCCAACGTCGCCAAACCAGTGTCTACAAGTGCTGCTGACAACTCCTTTCTGCCACAAAACCTTCCGTCATCGTTTCCACCGTCAACCATGCTGCACCCTTCCACGCAGCACAGACAACCCCCTTTTCCTTCTGAGTTTCCACAATTCTCTCCCAATCTCAAATGGCGTAACCCTTTCCTCGCAACCGTGCCATCCTCCGGCATCCCACTTCGACCCTATAATTCACTGAACCCTTTTTCTAGTCTACAAGTCCAATCTCAACCAACAGCTGGCGGCCCCTTCGCTACGGCCCCTTTGCCCTCACACCAAATGCCTTCGAATGCCGCGTCATCGATCGCTCAGAATGCGATTTTTTCAACTCGACCTGCATCTACTCATACTAACCCGTTTCATCAGCCGAACACAACAGTTGGATCGTCTACTTTCTCGAACCCTCCGTGGTCTTCGCAGTTCACTGACAATTTCGGCGCATTTCCCCCTACTGGACATGTTCCTTTGGTACGTTTTTATTCATTTGGGTAGCTTTCGCTTTTACTACTTTGTCGTTGCGGTATTTAACAAACGCACACGATTCATTTTTGTGTACCTTCGATCTTGGTAACTCGTGCAATGTCCACGTATCCGATCGAAGCTGATTTTTTCGTCTGTGACATTGTCCTGCTATTCGACTGTAGCAGTGTCTGGCTGAGACTTCCTACTGCTAATAACGTCACAGGATTAGCACTTCAGCCCAGTTCATTTCAGTTAGCTAGCTTCGACTTGATCACGAAAGCGCACACGGTTGACCCAGTTGTGTCGATCCGCCTGAACATGGCAACAATGCTCATGGTCTGTCCAGAAACTGGTGGAAAAGATTCCTTACAGTTCGTCTGCTTCACAACATGCTTGTATGCACTTAGACTTCTGTGGGACAAAATTTCCAGTGATACTGCCGCGCATCGTTGCTCCCCTTGTCGTCTTGCACAGGGATGTCTTCTAAGACTTGTCACCACAGTCTACACGTTTCTAACACCTCCAAACATGTGTTCTTTCAAGTTAGGTTTGGGTCAGGGGAGCAAAAACAAATCAGCTGTAGTGAGGCTGATAAAGCGCCACCAGTTTATATTGCTTTCTCCCCATTGGAAGCGCGTAAGCTGGCTCATCCTCCCGATGAATAACCCAAGTCTCAACACCCCCCGGATGGTCCCGCTCTATTATCTTTAGTCGTTCTAGCTCATGTAACGGGCAACGGTGATTGTTTAGCAAATGAGTGAGGTGATGTGGTGAGAGCGCCAAGCGATTCGGCAAAATTTCCACCCCATCGCCAGACCGCGCTGCGCGGGATGAGTTTCCTGCCCCCCCCCCCCCAACGCAGTAGATTCAGGGCCCAGTGGCGACGGAATTGAAGATGTAGTTTTTGAATCTCACACCTCGACGTTGTGAGTTTATGTCGCTTTTGCCTAGTCGTAACTAACACTGCGTTGGTCTGTCTTCTTTCTCTCTTGCTCGCGGGACTTGGGATGGTGTGCGTCAATTAATCGGCATAGTCGTTGTGCGTCAGTCACTTAGTCGACAGAATTTGGATGTATGCAACTAGTCGCTGCTAAGTTTCCAGGCGAGTTGCAATCCGTTCGTTCGTCTACCCCACGCGCGGGGCACAGTTCGCGAGAGCAATTCACGCATCGATTAGGATTATCTACGAGCAAAGCTTGGAGCGTCGCGTCACCGAACTAGGCCGTATTGGTTACTGGCGTCTAATCCAGAACAAGCGTCGACAATTCTTTTACCGATCGACGGCGAGGTTATTACATTGTCGACGGAGATGTTATGTCCCCCAGAGGTGGCACTTCTACCAAGTTAATCGATCCAGTCGGCCACCTCAACTAGTTCTTCGGTAATGGCTAGAACCGGTGGCATGTCAGTCCACTCCTACGACTGGATGTTGCACCTTGAACACACAACACACGGTGCTACTCGTTAGCTTATTCAATATTACCTGCATGGTCACTTAGTCTGACCCTCGGATAGCTGTCAGTCGATCATCTGGTACAACTTCCACTCAAGAAGGGCCTGAGCGCACAGATACCATTGTGATCATTTCTATTCAGAAGTTGTGGAGCAATGATGATATTGGACAATGCTTGTGCACCGAAATTGTTTTGGCGAATTCAGGATAAAATTTCCCAGGGGCCCTTTATCCGCCTCCGGAATCGCAATGGACAAAATTTAAAATAGAAAATAGTTTCTGTGCACACCCTCCAAGCAACTTTCTATTAAAAAACCGCCGTACTCAGTCATATGTAAGTTCGTCTCTCCTCCGGCCGATCCGTGTCCTTAAGGATCACAAGCCCGTCTTGTAATGCGAGATTACGGGTTCGAGCCTGTGTAGGGAACCGGGCACCCCTCGCATTATCCCTAACCCATGTGCGACTGGTGGCGGTTGCACGGCAGCGAAGCGTCGGTAGTGAGTACTAGTGCAAAAGTGTTGCTGCAGGACCACCAGCCACTTGATGACTCCTTGACGCTTGCTAACGAGGAACTCGAGGTGACAGATCATTTCACTTATCTTGGCAGCTGCATCAGCAATGATGGGCGCATAGAAACTGACGTCAGCTCACGCATTGCAAAAGCCAGAGCTACCTTCTTGAACCTGCGGCATCTTTGGCGACAGAAGGGAGTTTCCCTACGTCTGAATTACAAGGCCACAGTGAGGGCCATTCTGCTGTATGGTAGTGAGAGTTGGCCCCTTCGGTCTGAAGATCTGAGGCGCCTTCAAGTCTTTGATCATCGTTGTCTGCGAAGCATTGCTGGCGTCGGATGGCACCAGCGTGTCCGCAATGATGATGTGCGTATGCGAGTACTAGGTGGTGATAATCATGCTAACTCCCTAGATCAACAGATAGCACTGAATAAGTTGCGCTGGCTTGGGCACGTACTACGTATGCCTGGTCACCGCTCACCTAGGAGGGCCTTGTTCAGTCTACCAGGTGTAGGGTGGCCCAAGGCTCGAAGCGGATAGAAGTTGACTTGGCAGCGGGAAATGAAGTCACTGACGACCAAACTGGGTGCCGTTGGTCCGTCTCGCCTTCCGGGCTGGAGTCCACGTGACTCGCCTTGTGCTTGGCTCGAGACTTTACAGGACATGGCTCGCAACCGACACCAGTGGCGCGTCTGCTGCCGTCTCCTAATCGGATTGCCTGTTTAAAGTGTGTTTGGTGTTGAGTTATCTGCGGGGTAATGGCTGATTATGACGCGTGGCAGTGAAAGCCGCAAGGAGGCTGTCTTGCCGATGCCGCCTTATCTTTGCACGATAGCCAGTTGTTTGTGGCGGTATGTTGTCTACACAAGGCGTAGACGCCTTGACCCTGAATGTTTGCTTGGGGCATTATGGTTTTCAAGGATGTCCCCCTTTTCTCCCTCTTCTTATTCTTTATTTCATAGGTCCTCATGGTTGTATGGCAGCGAAGCATCAGTTCAAATGACTGATGTACTGCTGTTGATGATGATGACCAGCGTACCACTGATACCTTTTTTCCCCTCCGCTAGTTGACGGAGAGTAAATATTTGGTCAGTGCAACTACGATCGGGACGGAATCCAGCCAGACTCTAATTCAACTCTCGCGTAGGTTATTGGTCCTCACACAACGATATGCGCGCGAGGTTTGGGGACAGTAAACATAAGCCTAACGCCTCGATTTTGGAATCAAATTTTTTAACTCTTAGGAGATAAGGATGATGGTTGATAACCGCCAGTTCGAAGACATTACTTCGATACGTCATATATTTTTGGGTGGGGCATATGATCTAAGCAATCTAGTAGTTTCAAAATCAATACTTGATTCAGTGTGTGACCTAAAGTTTTCTACTCTAAGCTTCCACCTGACAGTGCTCTGTATTCACACCCCCGCCTGTATTCCATGGTAGCTGGGTACCTTTGGTCGGAATCCACTCATCTTTTGATGTATTCGGGATCACGTCTTTGAGCCTTCGGTGTCAACGCTGTTCAAATTGCAGCATTGCACACTTTGTTGTCCATTGACGAATTACCATCTGAGCATCTCCACTGTTGTTGTTGTTGTTGTTGTTGTTGTTGTTGTTGTTGTTGTTGTTGTTGTTGTTGTTGTTGTTGTTGTTGTTGTTGTTGTTGTTGTTGTTGTTGTGGTAAACCGCACAGGTCTACTCACAATGAGTTGACCACCAGATTCGATAAAGACATCCTGAAGCGCTATTCACCGATTTTTGAACCGGTCCCCAGAATACTATCTTGTGTTTGATAGCATGAATCACACGCTGACATGTGTTTCACTCTGTGTCTGGTTTTTATTCACTGGGTGGATATATATGGGACATTCTTTACGGACTACTCCCGACATTTCCCACATTATTGATGTTATGTTAATCATATTGGTTAGGCTTTACAGTGACATGCGTTCAAGGTTCAGTTGTTGTGATGTTTGCCGAGTCAGGCAATTTGACGGCAAACATTTCATCACCATTCGAGGTGGGCAAAAGTCACAGCAATTTCGCAACAGGAGTCAGTGGAATGTTGTAGACCCAAGAATCCGTTTGCGTTACATGTGTCATCGACTTGGTATCTGACACCTGTTCGTGGGGCGTCTCTTGCGGCTCCGATTCGGCTCTAAATGCCACAGATGTATTCGTTCCCCTGACCTTCGGCGCCTACTGGACCCATGTTGCGTTGCGCCACTCTATCACGGAACTATGCTACACGATAATCAACTTGTTGTGGTTCATCGTCATATAATATACTGCAATTTACTAGACTCTACAACTTGCTACATTTTCCTTCACGTAACTTTCCCAGTCAACTCGACCTTACATTGTATTGAATCCATGCGATTCATTTAGCCATCTTCTTCAGACATCGTAGACTCAGAATTCCTTCTACGGTTGGGTTCTTGTGGCCCATCCTGTGTTTCACGATGCACTCTGAATAACACTTCGCGAACCTATGACGCGTAATGTCATCGTCAGCATTTCCTGTACAAGCAACTGGTTTGATAGCTGTGTTACCTCTGGGGTGTCGCATTATCGAAAAGGTAACCACTCAAGCAACTAAGGTTCATGCAACTTTTTCATTGCTTCGTTAATTATAGTGTCACTGGGGGGGGCATAAACAGTGTCTCAAGGAGGGTTTCACAACACTGCGACGACTGTGGCTTCAAAGGCTGCGTTCCATTGTCGACGCTTGCGATATATTGCTCATATCTCGTGAGAGCGTCATTGAAGTTCTTCGTTTGGTGTTTCGCAACACATCTCCTGGCTCTTCTTCGTGGAGCGCTCGTTGCACTCGAATCTCCCCCGTTGCTATGCCGCGTGCTTCGCGTACCTGCAGACCGATTGCCTCCATATCTTTTGTTTCGTAAAATGCGTTTACTTGTGTGAGACTCCTTTTGACCGGTCGATGACATAACAGAGGAGCGTGAAGGAGTTCATCTAATGCTGAGGTTGATGTTGCATCATACATCATGCTTCTTCACCGCTGTTGGGCTACACCG